AACCCAACACCGATACCCCCTAAGATGCGGCTGCTTCTGGGAATAAGAATTTTGGCGCGAGCTCTGAGGGTTGGGGATTAGGGCCTTTATCGTTAGACTACCATGCGATTCTCCCATTCTTTGAGGCGGTCATAGTATCCTCACAGCACTTTCACATTATCTACAGTGCGTAACGAGCCTTTGACTTATTTTTGGTGGAAAGCAAGCCCTGTTTGCCCAATTTTCAACCAAGGGTGTAACCTTTGAAAAACCCTCGAGACTGGATGTCCTTAGTGTAGCCCTTCGTTTTGGGGGGAACATAAAGCTCAAGATAAGCCCAAAGGGGGTCTTTCAAATTAGGCGTACCCTTTTAGGGGTCCCAATGATAAGGATTACAGAATTTGAGGTCTAAATTGGGGTCCCCCCATTTTGGGAAAATACCATACATGGGACGTCCAAGCGTTGGGTCCATTTCAGGCGTTCCTCAGGCAAGTCTTAGTAAATCGATAAGGGGGGCCCATAAGCCTTTACATAATCTTCACATGACATAGATTTCAAGCGAAGGTAAACCTTCACCCAAAAACCATTACCTAAACCCCAAAAGTATGTAAAATAATAGCCCTAAACCCCTAATAATAGCCCTAAAGGCGATTATTTTACATACTTTTGGGATCCAGGTAAACAACACCAATATCCTAAGACACGTTTCTAATATATAATTTTGGCTCGAGGTAGGGTCCTCATAATTCGAGTGCAGGTAGGGTCCTAAGGAAATCCTCAACCCTACACCCTGAACCCTGATGGACACCGGAGGATAGCAACGGCAGACGCGCTGCAGGGAGCTTCAGCGGTGGGATTCTATTTTTCGGCCAGTATCTTGGCTTCGGGTTAAGGGTTCGGTTTATGGGTTTAGGGCTTAGGATTTAGGGAGATAGGCCTTAAAGCCTTAAACTCCAAGCCTGCAGCCTGCAACCCCAAACCCTAAACACTAAAAACCCTAAACATTCTAATTAAACCCTGAATTTTAAGCCCCAAACCATGATGCCCTAAACCTTAAGCTCTAAACCCAGCCACGGAGCAGGTTGGTGCCCTCCTTGCAGAGGCTTTACTCCGCTGCTGATCGACAGCTACAAGCAGCACCTGCATCCCAAAGGAATGCGCTGCATTCTTGTGGGAGTTGCACAAAACGTGCTTAAGGGTTTGAGGTTTAGGGTCCCTTTAGAACCCTTTCCCCCTCATAACGACACCACCCCGCCCCATACAGTACCTTTCTATATTAGTGAGAATGTATGCTATAAGGGGGGCTTGGGGGGAATTAGTAAAGGAAAGGAAGGATTGCTAAGCGTGAGCGGGGCTACATGGTAGCACGCATACAAGTCAACGGCTACTCTGCAGTTTTGCCACACTATGTATCATCCAGGTCTCATGGGATCGAGATGAGCCCTCATTCACCGACTACTACTCCTCGATGCCCTGGCTGGCCCTACCGTATGAGGACCACTTTGAGGGACTGCGTCCCTCAGAGAAACAGGGCTTAGGCCTTAGGCTCTTGTCCTACAGTAGGGCAAACAAGCATACCTATGTAGGGATGATGTTTGGGAATTAGGGTTGAGGGAAGGTTGAGGGCCTACAGACGGGTAATTGAGAATATACATATGCAGGGCCTCGGGCTTCGAGGTTCTATGGATCTCGGCCTCAAGGCTAGTGAGCTACTTTTGACTATTAGGCTACAGACTGTTGCTGGACTAATTCCTGCAGGACCCCAAGTACCCTGAACCATCGCAATTATGGTGGATACCATATAGTATACTAAGGGCCATGCAGGATTTTGTCTAGCAACTATATAGGCTGCAGTGGGGATTCTTGTCCATTGCTCAACTATAGGGATCCTCTGAACAGGTCTGACATCCGTAGAAGTCCTTCAGCCGAATTCTGTTGAGGCCTTCATGTTCTTAACCCCAAAGGGTCCATGTAGCTATGCACGTCCCACTTAAGTAGATAGAATATGGCTGTGTGTATATTATATACCCCATATTCTATCTACTTCAGGGGGATTATAGTACTGAGGGGCTCCCACATAACTACTTTCGGCAGACGTAGATACTATCAAGCTACATGGACCACTTTGGGAACAGTGCATGCCAATAAACCATGGAGAATGCCGTTTTTGTTGAAGGCCTGTGGGGGCTTTGGATAAACGGCTTCGAGTTTGGGGCCGTGCAACAGAGGTACATTTTTTCACACATTTTTTGTTTTTTAATTTGCCAAGGGAAACCCTGCCCAGCCCGAAACTCTAAACCCTACACCCTGACAAGGACAGCTCCATAAACCAGGAACTTGGCCAATACTTTTCAGTGCGCACAATTCCCACCTTGGTGCTGGTGGACCCCGAGGGCAACATCATCACCTCATCGGCCCGCGAATCCTTGGTAGATGACCCGGAAGGGAAGGACTACCCTTGGCCCCAGGATTATTCAATGTTAGAGAAGGCATCACTGGACCAGCCTTTCATCATTTGCCTCTGCGAGAGCCGCTACATGGGCCGAGCTGGCAAAGCTCTCAGGGATGGCGGCAAAGCAGTTCGGGAGGGCGGCGGCGGAGACTACGGCCTCTTCGTCGGCTGTGGCGGTTATTTGTCGAAGCAGGTAAGCAACATAACTGGCCAAAAGGTCAGTGGGACTCCCCGTCTCATGCTGCTAAATATCCCAGATGGCAGCTTCTACTACGGGCCTGAAGGTGAGCAAGCATTGTCGGCGGAGTCAGTAGCAGCATTTGCAGCTGATGTTGCTGCCGGTCGTCTCACAAGACATGTACCGTCCGAGTGATCCTTGAAGTTGGAACAGGTTCCCGAAGCTCCATGTCACCTCGAACATCTCTGCTGCATCCTTCAAAGTGCAAAGAAAATCGAATCCTAAGACGCGTCTATAAGCCCACCAACATCTGACCCCTGCTTGAACTGTCAGGGGTACAGTGCTTCCCAAGCAGGTTCAGAATCAAATTTGAATGCCTGGGGTTGTTGTGAAGCTGGTTAGGTTAAAAGTTAAAGGTTTACTTACTCAGACTTGCTAACTCCACCTGACCCTTCAAGTACAGAATCTAGAATCCTAGTGAACTGGAAGTTGGCTAGCAGTAGCCCTAAACCAGTAGTGCCCCTTGAGTAGGTAGAATATGGGGTATATGGAGATCTTATTATAACTCCTTGGGATTTAGCTTGGACCTTAGACCCTCAACCCTTTGGGATTTCCTTATACTCCTATTATAGGCGCCTAAAGGGTTAACCCTTAGTAGGGGTCCTAAGTGCCACGTAGATAACATACCTACCGCCGTATTCTATCTACTTAAGTTGGACTATAACCCCAAGACCTATATGCCCTACATCGGCTCTTTGGTCAGTCAAGAAGCTTTATGATGAAGAATTTCTCGGCTTCGGCATGAGGCCTGAACCCCTAAACCCTAACAAACAACCCCTCAACTTTGGGTACTGCCCCCCCTCAGTAACAGTTGGATAATAAGTATAATATGGCTTTATGCAGCCCTTAATAGGACCCCTAATCTAGACTGTTACTGGGATGGGGGCACCCAACCTGAACTTTACATCCTGGACCTTTTGAGCCTACTCTTCGACGCCCTAGCAATTAGACACTCAAGACATGAACAGGTTATCACCTATATCGGGGTTTCCCAAAATTAGGGGTACCATTTTTGGGGCTACCTATAAGAAGATCTATAGTATTGCGGTGTCTATATAGGGGTCCCCCTATTTTGGGAAACTACCATATATATTAGGTGGACCCCCCACCCAGTAATAGTGACCATAGGTGATAATAGGGAGTATATTAGTGTCCTCTCATATTCCTATTATATCACTATTACAGGGTGGGGGGGTCCTTCAACCCTAAACCCTAAACCCTAAATCTAAACCCTAAACCATATATAGTATACTTGCAGATGACGCCAGTGTCTCTCAAATAACGGCATACATATCTAGGAGGACCCACCCACCCTGTAATAGTGGTATAGTAGGAATATAATAGGACCCTAATATAGTCCTTATTATCCCTTAGAATCACTATTATCCTAAACCCTAAACCCTAAAAACATCTAAAAACCCTAGAACCCTATAGTCCCTATATAGTCCCTATATAATCCCTATTATCCCTTAGAGTCACTATTACAGGGTTGGGGGTCCTGCTAATACATATCGCTGCAGGGCCTCCAGCTTGCATGGAGACCGAGGCTACCCCACGTGTCAAAGAGTTTAGGGTTTAGGGGTTTAGGGTTTAGGGGTTTAGGGGTTTAGGGTTTAGGGGTTTAGGGGTTTAGGGTTCAGGGTTTAGGGGTTTAGGGTTTAGGGTTAGCAAGGGCTGAAGAAATGGATCCTTGTAGCAGCCTAGGTGTGACCCGCAATAGCATTGTAGAATGTCCCTGTTCTTTTTCCATTCCTTCATTCTTTGCTACCTAGAAGTAAGAGCATGATTCAGAGCCTGGGGTTTGGGGCTTCCAGTTTGGGGGTTAGGGCACTTCAGGGTTTACGGCTTTGGAGTGTGGGGTTGCGAGGCTTGCACCCAATCTCCTGTACATGGAAAAGAAATTGGAAACTACTATAGTATACTAGTACATGGGGGTTATATAGCTGTGCCCTGGGCACTGTAAAGGATTTGGGGTTCGGGGGTTTAGCGTTCAGGGTTTAGGGACAAGGGTTCGGGGCCCGGGTTGCAGGTTCAGGATTTAAGAGGTTGGGGTTCGGATTCGGGACTAGGGATTTAGAGTTTGGAGTTTCATGGGTAAAGGTTCAGGGTGTGGAGGTTTGGGTTATGAGGGGCTGTCAAACGCATGGCTTCGTAAGGGCCATGTATAATACAGCCCACCACCGCCCCAGCATCTAGAGGAGAGGACCCACAAAGACCATAACATAGACCCTAAACCTTAAACACTAACTAAACCTTAAACCCTCTCCCCAAGCATTGGCAAGTAGCCAACTCTACAGACCTACGTTCCTAAACCAAACCTCTTTCTCCCCTAACCACTATTTCCTGGAACCTTACACCCTAAACCCCTACCCCAAAACCCTAGAGGCCCAAAACCCCCAACCCCCTAGACCTTAGGTGCTGCCCCCACTCAGTAACAGTTGGGTAATAGTAGTCATATGAGCTATAGCTCCGTAAAGGAGGTTATGTAGGGGATTGTTTGGGTGGACACTATATGTAGGAGTTTAGGCTATAGCTCTCAGAACCATACACAGCCCTTGATATTACCCCTTATATAGACTTTTACTGGCTGGGGGCAGTATCCAACCCAGCCCTACGTAGACCCTGAACCCTAAACCCCTAACCTCTAAAACCTAGACCTCTAACCACCAGTAAGTGGGAGTTTCCCAAAATAGGGGGACCCCAATGTAGACCCCAGCATACTATAATCCTCATAATAGGGACCCTTAAACAGGTACCCCCAATTTTGGGAAACTCCCAAGTAGACCCATGGCCTGGAGCTCTTCGAAGCTGCCAATGCCAGGACTTACAAGCTGCCCTTCACGAAAGTTCGGAAGGGCATCCCGCAGGAAGCGCTTGTTATCATTGTGCGTTGTTATGGTGTGTGTTTTGTAGTTCTGTTATGATTTTGATTAGCCTTATTATGACTCTTGTGATTATTTATGATTTTTCTTGTGATTATGACTCTTGGTATAGTTACTGTTACTAGAACTGCTATTATTCTTACTATTAACGTATTATTCTTCAATCATCGCTTTTACCTTTATTATCGCTGCGATTCTTCTTACCATTGTCACCAGCATCATGGTCACACCGTCATGGGATGTTTATGTGTACTGTTGATATTGTGATGTCATTACAGTATTCGCGGTGCTTTTATCATTGTTCTTCTAATTGTCATTTGATGTAACTAGTATTGTCTTTTTTGATGTTTTATTGCCATTCTCCGGGTTCGGAGGGGATTTTGGGGTTTCAGGGTTTTAGCTTAGCTGTTTAGGGATTTAATGCCTAGCGTTTGGGGTCCCAGGGTTAAGAGCTTATTGGCTCTAGGGCTCGGCCCTGAACCCTAAACCTATTCATGCTGAGTTGGGAATGGGAACTGGTTGCAGAGTGCTGCTAGGTATAACGTGGCTGTACACGGCCTCAAACTTTTTTCCGTAACCCCTGACCCAAAAACCACAAACCAACAGACCCTAGATCAAAGTAACCCGAAAACGAAATCCCAACACATGCTCTTCTCATCCTAAACTCTAAACCCGAAATAGTAATTTCCATTTTATTTTCCATTATCCCAATACAACCCCCATATAACCCCAACTTGTCTGGCAGGATGCTCCGGCAGAGATACGGGATGCTTACATGGAGAAAAATCGCGACATGCAGCGCAGGAGTGGCCGTGTTGCCTTGTTATCATAGGGATATTATAGAGGTTACATAGGGATAACGGGAAAGAAAATGGAAACTATGGGGTTAAGGGGGTTTACATAGGGATTCTAGGGTATATATTGGTGCTTATGTATAGTAGCAATGGAAAAATGGAAGCTACTATAGCCTATTAGGGTACATACAGCTTGTGAGAGTCCACTTCCTGTAATCGATGCTGGCTTAGCGCTGAAGGCTCTTCTTTACCAAATCATTGTCATCACTGCCACTACTGTTTGAATCGTTCTGTTATTTCATTCCTAGCTTTTTTGCATTAGCACTACTCTTACGACGGCGACTACGACGACTTCCGCTCTGCCTGTTCTGCTGCTGCTGCTCCTTCTGGTGTTGCTGCCACCTCGGCCTGAATGCATCTTTTTCCTCTCACGCTCTGTATCCTCACATGATGCGCAGGACAAAGTCCAAGCTCATGACCAGAATGGCTGAGCTGGAAGGCCAGGACTGGTAAGGATAAGCCATGGGAAGCCACCGCAGCTCCAATCAGGGCGAAGCTATTCGAAGTTCAAAGCCTTTGAGCCACAGGATCTAGAGTTCGGTTGCGAGGCTAGTCCATGACAGAGATAGTTGTTATGCCTACTACTATCCTTGTATGAGGATTTGTTAGAACCAGTGGTGTGGTTCTTAGATTAGTTTCATTCGAATCATTGTCTCATGTGGGTGGTTGTCAAAATTATGGGCCCTTTTTGGAATCCCTATTATAATACGGCCCCTAACATTTAGGGTACCCAAAAAGGGACCATAATTTTGACAACCCCCCATGTGTTATAAGTAGGAGGTCTTGTACAGCATGGTACAGCTTCACAGCATGCCCCAGGTCTCCAAAAGAGGCCTTCAAAGACCCCAGGGAGTTCAAAGGATAAACCCTAAACCCTAAACCCTAGGAGTTCAAAGGATTCTAGGGGTGCTTAATAGGCCCTGGGGAGTTCAAAAGGCTATAAGGGTACTTAGTATACCTGAGGGTTTAGGGTTTAGGGTTGCATGTGGGAGTGTAGACAAGGAAAGTACGGCCAGATTGAAAGTTCAGGGGCAGACTTCACCTTAGGCCATGACGTTTCGCGCAGCAGGGGTCTTTAGGGTTTAGGGTTTGGGGGCGTTCTGGGTTTAGGGCTTGTGGGTCTTCAGGGTTTGGACAGGGCTGATTTTGAGAAGCTCCCGCATTGTTCCTGATGATGGTTGCTGTTGTTCAGCCAATGTGCGGGCAATTGCTTTGGCAATCAAAGATAAATCAATTGTCCCAGTATTGAGCTATACCATGTCAGGCTAGTTTCCAGACCAGACCCTAATCCCCCAAACCCTGACCTAGCCCAAAATCCTAGACCTCAGCGCAGGAACCTCCATCCCAAATCTCTTGGAAAGGCGTGCCCCTGGATCCGAGGGAGCTAAACCGAAGGCTTGTGGCCCAGAGCCTTCCGTGCGGTTGGGGGCTATCGTTGAGGCTTAAGGCGTTTAGGTGGCCATCAAGAATTAGGAAGACTGCAAGATCAAGTGAAACATGAATGGAAACTGGGATTGGGTTGGATTCTACAAGGGTTGCAATGTAGACAAGCCTGAAAGATTCCCAAGGTTATTCCGTTGTTATCCTAGATTATGACTGTATAATATAATGTACCGCCAAACCCTATTATGCTAGTTAGATAGGACCCTTCGTTTCTTGGAGGATCTGGGGTGACTTAGCAAGCAAGTCTCAGAACGTATAGTTCGATCCCCTATAATGCAAGTTAAAGCCCAGGTTGTCTCCATTCTTTTTATCCTTAAACCCTGAATCCTAAACCCTAACCCTGCTCACTACGACCACCTGACACTGTAAGTAGGGTTGTCAAAAGTGAGGCTTTATACAGGCTGTTGGCATCTTTGAATAGGGTTTCTGTTTCACTGAGCGGCATGTATGGGGGTGCTTTTTGTGCTATTTAGGTGAGTATGCGTGTGTGTATATACATATACATATGTACATTTTTGTGCACACACATATATACGTAAACACATTTTGGGGGACATGGACAGAGAGCAGTTTCAGTGAGACTTTACGTATAGGATAAAGGTACATTTCCTGAGCAACTAGGACTATGATGTCCCAATGCATGTAACCCTACACCCTAAACCCTTAAGCCTAAATAGTAGTTTCCATATTATTTTCCATTATCCCAATATAATCCCAATATAACCCTAACATAAGCCCGTTTTTATACACGACCGTCAACCCTATAAGCCCTAGACCCTCGTTCTTGTAAGGTCCGTCATGGTCCTGGATGTTGCTGGCTCAGCTTATCAGGTTTTATAACGTTATATTACAGGAAGCTACTATAGTATATTGGGGCAGTATTGAGATAATGGAGAAGAAAATGGAAACTTCAGGTATGGGGGCTATGGGGATTACATTGGGTATATATTGGAGTTATGTTGGAGTAATGGAGAATCAAACGGGATATGAAATGAAATTGAGATGGAAACTGTGGATGTAAGGGCTCTACAGAGATTGATACATGGCGTTATGTACTCAAAGTTCAGAACCTAGTGGTTCCGCTGACACGTTTGATGCCTGCGAAAGGCGGCAGACCAGAGTGAGGGTGAGCCCGATGAGGAGGTTGAAGTGGACTTCGAAGCTGATCCATCCATGATGGCCATGGAGCCCATGGAAGGAATGTGAACGTGTCATCACACTGAGCCATGAACGCTGCAGCAAATGCACAGTGGGTTTAACAGGCGCAAGAGTTGCTACGTACACACGTTGATATGTAGCTTTGCTAGAAGCCGATGGCGGCATGTTGCCTCATGAGTGCTGGAGCAAAAGTCCTTTTGGGCAGCAGTTGCTGCAGTAATGTAAGCTCAGTAACGCGCAGAATGAGATGGGTGGTTGTCAAAATTATGGTCCCTTTTTGGGTCCCTATTATAATACGGCCCCTAACATTTAGGGTACCCAAAAAGGGACCATAATTTTGACAACCACCCAGATGGATACTGGGATGCAGAACTTGGTCCTCGGCTCCAAGGTGGGCAAAGTATGTTTTTTATGCGACAATGCGTAGTTGCTCAAATCAGGGTCTCAGAGTAGCCGTCCCCAGAGGAGCACCTCCAGGGATCCCTCCATTACTTCAATATAACTCCAATATATACCCAATATACCCAATACAACCCCCATATGACCCCTTATACTCAAAATGGTTTCCATTTTCTTTTCCATTATCCGAATATTACCCCAATATACTATAGTAGCCTCCTGTAATATTATAACTGAGGATGGCTTCTCTGTCTAGGCTCGCCATAATGATGTAGTTGTTCTATATAATCCCGATATATAACCTCTTATATAATCCATGTAGCTTCCATTTCATTATTTTCCATTATCCCCATATAACACCAACATTACCCCTATGGGTGACGTTGTTCTATTCTTTCATACATGCCAAAGCCCGAGTTGCCCGGCAAGCGCGAAGCCCCCTGACCGAAAAATGTTTCGAGTTCCTAGAATGATGGTATCGGGTTCTTTGGATGTAGTGCAATGCTCAGATGTTCTTTCCGCTGTTTTCGTTGGGTGGCTCGAAGCTTGGCTGCGGCGAAAAACCGCTTCTCGGATATTGGGACCCCTGCCGCTTCCCCTCCGACTGGGCCATGTCCATTGAGGCGAGTTCGGGGCATGAGCGATTGTATTAGAGATAACAGGGATATATGAGCTGTAGTCAGTCTAAACTCCTTTGAAGGGTTTACATAAAGGATTATATAGGGGAATACTATAGGGGTTATTCAGGGGGATACTAGGAGTTTAGACTATAGCTCATATAGGGGTATATAGGGATACCTGGGGATTCTTTACGGCGTAGGGATATGACCACAATGAAGAAAAATCGCATGGACAAGAAATCTGAAGTTTGAGGTCAGGGCTTCTAGGGGTTTCTGATTTGGGAGAGTTTCTGAATTGAAGGCCACATGGGTCCGGATTTGGGTTTCAGTGGAATGTTGCCAGTTACATGCAGGCACATGGGGTTGAGGGACTCCGGTTTAGGGTTCAGGGTTTTCTGAAGAGTTACAGATGCCTTTTGAAGTCTTTCAGTGTCGGGGTCTTTCAAGCAGTGCAAATTGCGGCCTCAACTTGAAGACATTCCCTACACGCTGCTGAAGTTCCCGCACAAGCAGGTGACAATGCCTTATCTTGCTAAAGTTGCAAGTGGGTTGTTTTTTCAAGAAGTCGCCAGGTGTTTGACAACTACTTCAAGGCGCGGCGCTTGTCCTGTTCGATCCACTGAGATGCGTTGCTGCACTTGCTTTGCCATGCGCGGCTCCAAGGCAGCTCCTAAGCCCCCAGCCAGGGATAATTCTTGCTTTTTTTTCTTTGGGACTACGCACGAAGCGCCAAGAAGAGCCTGCAGGAGGGTCGCAAGATCGTGACCGTGAAGGATGTTGAGCCTGAGCAGTTCATCAAGGCTTTCTCCCAGCACTTGAAGCGACAAGGCTTGACTCCCGGATTTGCCCAGGGCTGCGTGAGTTGATGCTGCAGGGTAGTGACTAAGGCCGCTTCGAGCTGCCCAAGTGGGCGGATGTGGTCAAGACCAGCAAGGCCAAGGAGCTGCCACCCTCCGTCCCTTGGCAAAGTGTATGCCTTATGCGAGCACACTTTCACTTTTCTGTTTCAAAGCGGGAGATGCTGCAAAGGACAGTGCAACCCATCTTAGGACCCAGACTGGCTGTACGTGCGAACCGCGTCCATGGTGCGAAAGATCTACATTCGCAAGGGCATGGGCGTTGGCAGCCTGACTGAACTGGTGCTGGCGATGCTCAGCATTTCCGCCTTGCGGCATGTGCCAAGGTGCCTTCAAGAAGGTGTACGGTGGACAGAAGCGCCGAGGGACCTGCACGAACGTCTACGCTGGGCCCTCAGGTCTTGTATGTCCCTCGGTCTTGGACTTGGATGTGCTACAGGCTCTGACAGACATGTTCATGTGTGAGGGCCCTTGAGTTCCGTGATATTATGTTAACTTCTGACGTTCTGAGACCAAAGCCTCCGGCAAGATCGCGCGGTACATTCTGCAGCAGCTGGAGGACAGGGCCAGTTTGTGAATAGCACGGGTTAGGCGTATGTTTCGCAGCACAAAGATGCGCGCTCACGGCACAGAGCGCTTGTTCCAAGCACCCCAAGAAAGGACACATGGGTGGTTCCCCAAATTAGGGCCCTGCTTTGGTACCCCTAAATATTAGGTGCCGTAATGTAATCCATAACCGAAAGGGGCCCATAATTTTGAGAACAACCACTAGACCCCGAACCTCAAACCCTAATCCCTGAACCCTAAACCCTATCAAGTCCGTATACCCCATATAATGGTACGTGATTTGGACATCTCGCCAGGAGATGGGTCTGGTCGAGCAGGACGACCAGGGAGGCAGGATGATCACGAAGGACGCAGCATTGCAGGGATGGGCTGGACTGCTGTTAAGGAACTTAGGGTTTAGGATTTAGGGCTTAGTGTTTAGGGGTCTGTTAAGGAACTTGAACTACAATATGGGTATATAAGGTTAAAGGTTTACGGGTTACTATCACAAGGAAATCCTAACATTTATTGTATACCCATACTATGGCAACTTAGTTCATATTACTGAAAACAACCCAGTGGATGGTGTACTGTTTCTAGGTAGGACGACACGTTATATCCGATATCTCCTAAAGTTTCTATAATAGATGTGAGTCTACATCGCCTACAGTTTCTATAGTGAATACTAGTCTATATCCCGTGCAGTATTTCTAGACCGTTTGTGGCTGAGTTTGCAAGCCGTTCTCTACACTCTTCTCACATTGAACCGGTATGCTTCCCATTCTTGTCCTGAGATGCCCACAGAACCCACCAGCTCTTCTGCAGAAAACTCAAGCCAGGAAACCTTCCACCCCACACCCTGAACTGATAGGCCGTGAGCCCTAAACTCCAAGACCCAACCGCCTCCCAACGCTAATCGTTTCCTCTTGCTAGTTCTACCGAGCGCAACCTAAATAGTAGATGCTTTTCGTCAGAAAGTGCCGGTAAGGGGCCTCAGTTGCGCAAAAGCAGTTCGACTTCGCAAGGAATAGGAAGCAGTGGTGTAAGTATTTGCGCAGAGTGGAGATCCAGCGCTCAGCACTGTCTTCATTAGATTTCACAGGCTTAATAAGCTTAATGTCAGATTTGTCTGTCTCTGAGGCAACCCTATAGCCCTAAAAATGAGTGCCGGGGGAGAAATATCCAGCCTTAGAGATGGCTTCACTACACAATGGAAAAGAAGATGGAAGCTACTAAAATGGGTTTATAATAGGGATAATGGAAAGAAAATGGAAGCTACTATAACGGGGTTTTATAGGGATATTATTGGGATATCATAGGGGTTATATGAGCTATAGTCTAAACTCCTTGAAGGGGATTGCATGGGGGACTACTATGGGGGTATTTCAGGATACCAGGAGTTTAAACTATGGCTTACATTACGTTAGGGGTGTGTTGGTTGGTAGGAGCGTTGTTCTACTCACGCCCTTCGCCGTGAACCCTGAAAATCCAATTCCAAAACCCCAAACCCACAACCACCAACATAATAGGAGTTTCCGATGCGAGGCCTCAAATCTTAGGAGTCCACGGAATACGGAGTATTGTATCATGTATCCGGGGTCTGTAGGGGTCCCCCCACTTATGCGAACTACCATGTTCCTGCATTTCTTTGGTGGAAAATCCATGTTCAGGAGGGCCAGCGAGAGCTTGACACCGTCGCTGTGCAGGCAGCGGCTGAGGAGGCCGGAGAACTTGTGAACATGCTTAGGACTAGTACTGCAGGATTAGGGCTAAAGCATTACGTAGGGTTTGGGAACAAGGGTGCAAGGCTTATGGCTTAGGCTTCCGGACTCGGTATCAGGGATTAGAGTTCAGGGATTAAGGTTTTGTCAGTGGGGTGGAGGGGGACTATGGGGTCCTTGTGGATATCAAGGATTTACAAATACTTATGACTGGCTGCGGGATTGTATAGAAGTCATTCTGGGAAACTCGCCGGCTTAGAGTTTGGGCTGTAGCATTTTGGGAGTCAGGGGCGTTGAGCAGTTCAGAGTTTGGAGGTCTCAGGTTTTGGGCGTTATGATTGAGGGGTTTGGTGTAAGGGTTTGATTTGGGCTTGGGCTGATGGTTTTGGGGGATGAGGGGCTGCCGAGCTTTTAGTTTGAGGTTTGGAGAGTTGAGTGATGGGGCTGGGGCTTTGGTTCTTCAGGTCTTGTTAAATGGTTCCGCGGAGCGTACGGTTAGATTCAACGGGGTTTGGGTCATCGGGTTTAGACAGCCACTAGAAGCACTCTTGGTGTGACTCTCCGAGTTACGTGCTAGGGGAAAGAGCGATCAGACTCAGCTGTAGGGTATACCAGGATACAGAACTTGTGCCTTGAAGAACGCTGAATATGTTTTCCATTTCTGTGGGGTTTGCACGATGTCCAAGCATCATATGTGGAGTTCGGGATGTTGAAGTTTTCTTCTCAATCGCATTTCTTTGTTGCGCAGCGTGGAGCGTCCCGGCAAGTTCGTGATTTCTAGAAAAAGGGTGACGATTATGCTGAAGAGGTCCATACCCTTAACCCCATAGCTCTGAAAACCCCTAACCTTGTAAAGCCGAATTAATGTATACTACATTATAACCCCAAATTCTAATCAATGTATACGACATCATGACTCTTTCTGACCCCTATAGTCCCTATACAACCGTATATATACCCTCTATAAAACCCCAGACCCACATCTACCCTAAACCCTAAACCCCAGACCCCCATCTGCAGGAGGAGGAAGACTGAGCCTCGAGGCAAAAGTCTGCAGGCAGAGGTAGCGGTCCAGAGAAGACGATGTGCGAGAAGATGTCGGTCAAACAGCCGGGAAATTCGGGTTTAGGATGTAGGGTTTAGGGTTCAGGGTTTTTGGTTCAGGGTTTAGGGTTCGGGTTTAGAGGGTCCAGGGTTTAGGGTTCAGGATTTAGGGTTTAGGTCGGTCAAATAGTTGGAAGGACCCCAATAAGGACCCCAACTCAATGTTGGAGGGTCTCCACCCTGAACAACTAGCATTCCTCTTTAGTATTTTGGCACCCCCTAGATTTGCCGCAGATTTAACATCATATGGGGCCTTGGAACCTGAAAAGTCTGCCGCTAACGACCAGAGTTAAACCCAGCCCCTTTGCGCTTTGTACCCTGCCTGCCTGAATTCTCTACCGCGCGGGCGTCATCGCTCTTAAGCCTATGCCCCAAACCTGATGTGGGTTATTAGTATTTGCCGATATGTAAGGGCCCCCAATTTTCGTGAACTGCCATATGCCTAAACCCTAAGGCCCTAAACCTATATGTCTCATCTCCCTCGCTGGCTCGGAGCGCGCAGCTTGGCTGCGGTGTTCACCGGTTTTCGTGCCCCGCGCCTGGTGCAGAGTGCTCCTTGGTTCGCGCTTGGGTTTTTGGGGTTTGGGGCTTGGGCTTTGAGCCAGTTGCTAAACCCCAAAAGTATGTAAAATAATGGCCTTTATGGCTATTATTAGGGGTTTAGGGCTATTATTTTACATACTTTTGGGGTTTAGGTTAGTTTTAACGTTTAGGTCTCAGGGTTCAGGATCAGGGTCTCTTGGATCAAGCGGGGCGTCTCAACTTTTCGGGGCTCTTCATGTCTACAGGGGTCATAGGGATGTACACGCATCAATACACCATGTTTATGTGGGTATATACATATATGCATATGTACATTGTTTATTTACGCTGCCCAGTAATTAAGCCCCCTTTTTCCCTTATCCCATCTTCCGGTGACATGTTGAATCAGCTCTTCAGGCACGAGTCTCAATAATGGACTAGGGCTTAGGTTCAGGGTTTAGGGTTTAGGGTTTAGGGCTTAGGGATTGTTATAGGTAGGTTTGAGGACACTTGCAGATGAAGGCCTCCTTGTTCATGCCAAGCCCTAATCACTAAACCTCAAGCCTACATGGCGAGCTGTCAATTCTTTAGAGTCATTTTGTTGATAGCAACCTCAAAGGGGATTACAGCGTTGACAACCGCGATATTTACCGCCCTAGTCCCTAGACAGGAATGCAGTGGCTCAGGTTCATTATGTCCATCGAGGTGTTCGACAACTACTTCAAGGATCATGAGCCTGGTTAGGGGCTTAAGATATAGGATTTAACCCCTAAACCCTAGGGTTAAGGCTTGGGGATAAGGGTTGGGAAAAGCCTTTCCTGTACAGTCCCAATAAGCATGAGGGGCGCCTGGTACCCGCGGAAGACCCCTGGATATATGGGTCTTGGGAAGGGTTCCAGAAGGTCGTATGCGCATGCCCCGCCTAAATTTTCACTGCGTATTTACCACACGTGTGCGGGTTACAGGTTGGCAGAACATGTGCGGCCGGTCACAAGTGTCAACTGCAAAATCATGTCTTCCGGAGGTTTGAAAGCTGGGGCGGCCTTCGGCCTAGCCTGTTCTCGTGTTTACATGCCGGGGTATTTGAAACTGGTGCCCTTCATCTGGGTTGCTGTTAAGGAACTTAAATTAAGTTACTCTTTTGGGGAAACCTCATTATTTACTATATATACCCATTATGGTAACTTAATTTCAAGTTCATTAAATCCCCATATTCCCCCAGTTTCCATTTCATTTTCCATTTTATTTTCCATTTGATTCTCCATTATATACCCATTATGGTAACCGTAAACCCTAAACCCTAAACCCTAAATCCTAAACCCTAAACC